TTATTTATTAAAGTACATTTCATCCAAAGTTAGAAAAGGAACTGTATTCTATCTAGTCTTCATTTACATTCCTTATTTGTTGGTATTTGTTAAACTGTTAACTGAGAAGGTTTCACTGCACAGCTGTGTACTAAAGTGTGTGCTGCACTTGTGTGTCTCTTTCTTGTGAAATGCCACTGTGTGGATAGTCACATGTATCAGTTCACTTTGCTTCTCTTGTGACCATGGCTGATGCACGCTGTGATGTCCAAATATGATCTTCTAGAGAAAGTGCAGATCCTAAAGTTTACAGGATGAGTGATGGTTTCTCAGCAACCCACCAGTGATCCAAATGCATGGCAAGCAAACCATACAGCATCATCACTTCTAGCAAGAAGAACTGAAAGCCCATGTTCCTGAAAATACTGCATATATTATTTTTCCTTTCAATTGGATGCTTCAGAGTCCAAACTGCAGACTATGATCGCTGTGTCATTTCCAAAGAAGCTGTGTTTACACTCATCTGACCTGACAGCGTTCAGTGTGGCCACACCATAGAGCTTTCTCATGGCTCTTCTAGCACGCTGTTGAATTTTCTATTTAGAGCCCTACCTCCTGGAGCGAAGATTTCTAGTCCTCATATTTTAAAGGAGAAATTCAAACAGACTTTAAAGATACAGAAACTAGAAGTACTACCAAAATTACATTCTTCTACCTCACGGATTCTGGATTTTGAGAGCTGATGACACAGAACTGTACAGATGCTTTGCACAGACCTGTAAAGAGAAGGTAGCAGAGAATCCATCTCTGAAGATAGGGAGATAAATTTGCTATAATCTGATAAAAACCCGACCTTGAAGGGATATAGATTTATAGAGGAACTTTGAAGATGTTACCTGCTTGGAGGCTATTGATTTCAAAACACATAATGCAAACATGTAATTATAAATTCAAGTAAATAATATTAACATAAATATTTTTAAAATTTGGTTTTTAAAACAAAAACATTTGGTTTGCAGTCTTGTAGTACAAATATTGCATTGCCATGCACAAAGATTAAAGAGAAATCTGATGGATGTAGAAGATACAACATCACTGGAAAGTGACTCAAAATTTGGGCATCTGGCAAGCACTATTTTGCTGCCTCACAACTTCACAAAGCCAATAGGAAGAAAAAAAATTACCACTATTAAAAATTACCGTGACTGAGTAGTGAAAGCATCTTCAGGCTTACACAGTTTGGTTAAAAAGAAGAGGGGAAAACCCCAGAGGTTATAATTAACAAACTATTTGGATTTCAACTGCTCAAGCTACATCTGAGTTATACCAGCCTTACAGCAGTGGAATCCATCCCCACACCTTTGTTACAGTTGGAGGACTATTTTTGTAACTTTCTAAACCACAATATCAACTATTAAATGAATTAATAGAGGTCAAAATTGAAAATTATTTTGGGCATCATTCTACGGTTACATTTCACAGCATTTTCCTAACTTGAATACCCCGAGGTCCTTATGCAGCATCTTTCCAGCTACACTGAAGTCTTGAAAGTAAGAAGTCTACCAGAACCCAGCATATATTTAATAATTAAAATAGCCAATCACCTCCTTAAAATACAACCATACACAACCATACACAACCATACATACGTAAGCCTCACCTTATGTTCAATTCTTAATGTGCAAAGTTCTTACACAGAAGATTGTTTAGCTGGGAATGGCCTCTGAAAGCAGGAGGATTATCAAAAGCCACTTAAAGTGACAGGGGCAAGGTTCTCAGAAGGGAGGCTGAGTCAATATATTAGCAGTATCACAGAGCTTGAACTTAGTCTTGGAGAGGACACTGGAAATACCCGGCTCAAAATCATCTCCAAGGTGAGAGCCATATTTTTCTACCTTAGGCACCACCAAAACAGTCAGTCAGAGAGCAGGAAGTCAGAAAGGTTGCAGTACTTCACTGACAGTCTACTCCTGTCTGCTAGGAGTTCTGCTGACAAGCAGGGAATCCCAGCAGACCACCACATTGCCACAGTTCTGGGAAACAGACAAAGTCAAAGGGGCAATTCACCAACAGCTCCTAGCAGCCACCTCCACTGGGTAACTCCTATGGAAATCCCAGCAAAAACTTTTCAGCCTTTCCTCCCTGAGGCTTCTCCCTGGGATTTTGCTTCCTGTGGAAGCAAGGGTGGAACTGGCTCCAGTCACACAGCTTGAGTAGAATAACAGAGTATCTCAAGTTGGAAGGTACCCATGAGAACCACTGAGTCCAACTCCCTGCTTCTCAGAGGACCACTTAATACTAAACCACATTGACTAAGAGCATCATTCAGGTAGTCTTTGACAGGTTTAGTGTCCTGACCACTTCCCTGGAAAGTCTGTTCCAGTACCCAGCCACCCTCTCAATGAAGCAATTTTCCTACTGTCCAGTCTGAACCTCCTCGATGCAGTTTCATTCCATTTCCTTGTGTCCTACTGCTGGTCACCAGACAGAGGAGATCAGCACCTCCCCATCTGCTGACCCCCTTGAGGAAGCTGTAGGCTGTGATGGGGTCATCCCTCAGCCTTCTCTTCTCCAGGCTGAACAAAGCAAATGTCATCAGCTGCTCCTCCTAATCCTGGTCCTCAAGACCTTTCCCCATCTTGGTCACCCTGCTCTGGATCCACTCTCAATCGTTTGATGTCCTTGCATCAAGGTGCCCATGGCATCTTTTGATTGACACAGAACTACTGATAGACTACTTGTGTCTTGTGCCCTCTTCAACAATGACTGTCTCATCACTCCCAGATTTCACCAAAATCATACTTACTCCTAGAAAACCTTTTAAAATCACCAGGTGCTCTGTCTGAGCCAGGTTGAGTACTATTTACAGGACAGCAGCCCTGGGTTTGAAATTCCTATGCAGACCAGTAGGCCAGATCAATAGAAACAAAACCTGAGTCAGAGCATAAGCAATAAACCTCACATTATTGCCTGAAAAGGAACAAAACATCCTCCTGATAAGCTACCTTGATGCTTAGATCAAGCATGATACCTGCACCACAGCAGAATCTGACCCAGCAAATCAGAGATGTTGGGAATGGGAGTCCAACATGTCACTTCACAGTGCGGCACAGGACAGCATCAGAATGCAAATGTTCTTTAAAAATGCACCTCTCTGGTTTTTTTTCCTTAGAAGAGGTCAAATTAAATTTTAAAAGTATGTTTCTATGTTCCCAACCTCTAAGGTATGAGCAGCATGTTTTAAATACTTACATTCTCAGCAAAAAAACATAAACAGGCTACAAATGTCATACAGGCTACTCAGTGTCATAAGGTAACTCAAATGTAGGATCTAGACCTGTCATAAGTGGCCAAAATGAAACTGAGGAATGGCAATCCAGCAATTTAAGCATAAATTGCACACCACTCCAAGAGGCAGGTTTCCTCCATCAGTGGCTGTGAAAAAGGCATGCGCTGCATGTACAAAGAGATGCACTCTGCAGGATCTGTGTTCGCAAGACAGAATGCCTTCTCACATATAGACAAGCCAGCCCTGACAGCCCAGGACACGTACAGGTGCAATTACGAACATTCCGCTGGGCAGGGAGCCTTGCCTACCGCCGTGGGAGCGGTGGAGCGGGCACAGATGCACGGCGAGCGGAAACCAGCGCAGGAGCGCCCGCAGGGCCGCGCTGGCCCCGCTCCGCTCGGGCTCCCCCGCGGCGCCGAGGCCCAGCCCGGGCTCCATGGAACGCCCCCAGCCCCGGAGCATCCCTTCCCTCCCCTGCACCAGCCGCCGCACCCAGCGCGCCGCGCCCGCTTCGGGCGGACAATGACCGGCGGGCATACAATGGTGCAGGGCCGCGAGAGGCTGAGGCGGCTGCGGGCTGCGCCTGCCACACCTCTCGCGCCATCTCCTCTCCATCACCAACGCCGGCTCTCGCTCGCGCTTCCCTCCCGTCCGTCACCTCCATCGCTTCCTCTCCCCGTTCGCGCCGCCGCCCCGGCCCCCCGCAGCCGGCCGGTCATTGTTCTACCGCCGCGGGCACCGGGCGACACTCTCGGCGGCCGCCGCCGCCGCTCACCGTGCCGCCAGGGAAAGACGCCGAGCAGCGAGGGACGAGCACGGCGCATCCATCTTCCTGCCGGCGGCTCCAGCGCCCGCACCGGCCCCGCCGCCGCCCCCCCCCCCCGCCCCGCCGCAGCTGCGCCCCGGCAGCGCCGGCAGCGCCGCGGGGAGCGCGGCCCGGCCCGGCCGCCGAGTGCTCGCGGCTCCCTCAGGACTCCGTGCCGGCGGGGTCTGAGCCAGCCGGCCTCTGAGGGCGAAGGGCCGCAGCCCTCAGACCACAGGTGCCTCAAGGCGTCCGGAGTCCCCGTGGCCTCAAGCTGGAGCTCGTCCCAGGCCTTGCGACTTTCGAGGGACACACCTCACCACACTCCATTTGGACAGCACGCCAATGGCCACAGTACTTGGGAGTGTGATCTTCATCACCCTGGGGTACAGCTATCCAATCCACCTCTTTCCAGCTTAGAGGCAAGGACACTGTGTGGAAGCAATACCATCAAAAGCTTTGCACAAGCACAGGCAAATGACGTGAGTCACTCTTCGCTTACCCACCAGCAAGCACACTAACCCCCACACAGGGAGCCTGTACCAAGTTTATCAAGCACAATTTGCCCCTAGTGACAACAATTTTATAAATGGTCTCATTGAAATCTTCAGGTTTGCATGGAATTAGGAAAGTTCTTGCAAAATACATCAAGATCCACTTTTACTGTTTAAAACTATATGCAGTAGAAATGGTTGTTGAATGGACACTATGGAACATAAAACAAGCCGGTAATTTCTAGAAATGCCCAGAACTAAGAACATGGGTTTCCTCTGCTCCACGGACATGTTGCAAATGCATTGGACAGAGGGCCCAGGGCTGTGATGTGCCCACCTGTACAGCTGGTCTAATGAAACACAGGAAGCTATGGCTAAATGGGAAGGGTTTTTAAAGTGCTTCGTCCTTGATTTACTCATGCCACAGACAGAGGGGTGTGGCTGTAAATTTAAAGGGGTGAACAAAGACACCAATTCTGAAACAAAGGTATCTTTTTGCCTCCTTAACAAAACAATACGTTATAGTTCATTTGATTCCATTGCTACAGTGCACATGGAAGCTGCACCACAAAGAAGCCCAAGAACTGTAATTTCATTATTTTTTTTTAATTGTGCTATCCCGACTGCTTTTCTACTGAAAGCCAAAACTATCCATCAGAACTACAGTGAGAACTCAGACAGCTGTCACCTGTAGTTACTTGGGATTCCTCTGACATTTGCCAATACTTTAACATACCCATGGAACCTATCTCTAAGTGCCTATTCTACTGCTTCAGTGAAACATCACCTGTGCAGTTCAAGACAAGCAAAAGTCTCTGATGACAGCCGTGATACCACAAGAGGTCCTCCAAAGAAATGCAGTAAAGACCAGAGGTAACTGGGCAGAATCAAAATGTATTTTAACTCAAGCACACAAGCTCTTCCCAATGCCTCCCTTAGGAGCAGTCCTGTGTAGTGGGACATGTCTGCCCTCTGACTGGAATGACTTGGTGAGAAGTAGAGCAGGTTCTCACACCGCAGCACAGGCACTTTCACATCAGGCTCCCCTTTCCCTGTTTTCGTCTGTCTTCAGCTGTGGACTCTGCTAACTCCTTCCCTTTATGTGAGGGCAACAACAAGAGGAGGAATTTCCCCAGAAAGAAGTAAGTGGTTGCATGTTCCATTTGCAATGTCACATCCAATGCACAAGTTAGAAGTATCAGAATTGTTCATGGTGTTACTGAAGACAGATTGAGAGGGGAGACACGGCGTGTGGGGGTGTTGTTGGCTGACAAGGATGCAGGAAGGAAAAAGGGAGCAGCAACATCTGTGGATGATGTTTCTCCTTGGTTGCGAAGCTGTAAGATCTGGCGCAGCAGGGCCTTTCCTTCTTCTCTAGTCTGAAATTAATTTGTAGAAAACAGAACAATACAACTATGAATGGATGGTTTCTGGGTCAAATTTAATATGTAAGCAGTGTAACTTAAAGTAGCTTGTCATTCTGTAAGGCTACAAGCTATAAAAGCAATTCTCAATTCTTTTTTCTTCTGCTCCTTCAAAATGTTAAGGTAAGTCACTTTTTTTGTTTTAGTCTTTCCTCCTTTTACTCCTGATTGGTGTGTTTCTTGGGTATTTCAGAGAACAGAACCATCAACCACTGAAGCTGTATAAATATTCCAGCAAGAAGTAGATTGGGAAAACTTTCAATAAGGTGAATTCAGGTTGTAGAGAGCTCCAGGCAGCTTTGTCAAGGATAGGCCAAACATCCTGCACTCATGGTTAGTGTCTACCATTAGGCTGAAATTAAAAATCCCAAACTGCCCACTTACAGATACATTACATCACAGAGTATGGAGCTGCACACAAAACCCAATTACTATTATACTCTCTGCACCATCTACACACAGAAAATGAGAAAAAAAAGTTTTAGAAGTATCACCACTACACAGTGTGTGGGAGTTTGTGACCATTCAGCTACCTCCTCACCACCAGCATTTTTAGCAGCCTTAAGACTGCCATGTGAAGTTTCAAATTCTTTTACTTAGTGAATTCCAGTGAGGTATGGTTCAATTTCACTATCTACACCACATTCCATGACTTTTATCAACCATACTCAGCATAACTGATCAGGTACACATGACAACCACCACTCAGGATGTGACCTGTATGGCAGACAGACCTCATTTCTTCATAAAGGATTCCTTCTACTCTGAGGGGAGCCACGATCAAGGTCATAGATCCATTAAGAAAGAAGCACCAAAGACTGCACAGGTACTCACATCATTGAAGGCACAGCATTTCTGAGCACATGCTGAGGCTTCATCCCAAAGCTTACATTTGAAGTAGTACTGGGCCAGGTAACGAAATGCAGTGCTGACCTCCAGGTGCTCCACTACCTCCTACATTGAGTGGGGTAAAAAAAATCATTTGTAAGTGCCTTCCAAAGTAGTTGTACACCATGTTTACTTCTCCTTTTAGTCCCAAGCTATCTTCTTACCCCACAGGAATAAATATCCTGGATGTATTTGATGTAGCATTGAGCTGCCTGTTCAGATTCATTCAGCTGTTCATGCAACCTACAAAAGGAGAAAAGTGGGTCACTGGAACAAGACTGCACTGTCGAAGACCTTGGTCTATGAGAATGTACCTGCTCATCCTGACCTGGACTAAAGCCAGGTCCTTTCCTTCAGAAATTGCAGGACATGCAATATGTACTACCTCTTGTGGAAAGAGATGATCCAGTTTGCATTCAGGCTGACAGACACAGAGGCAGTCAGATAGTGACTAGTCAGCTAGAAGCAGGGACCTTTGTATATTCTGTTACATTTTAAACCTTTTAACAGACCTTTGACATTCTACTTACTCACTATTTCCTCCAGTGCTCCTTCTTCCCCTGCTACAACCCAAATTTGCACAGCAGTTTCACTTTTAATTTGCCCTTTTTTTCCCCTCTTCACTTTTCCCACTTTATGTTACTTTATCCCCACCAAAAGAAATTAGTGTTGATGTCACAGTATTCACATTAGACCTTTCCAATGTCACAGCCATATACTAGAAAGGAAAAATAAAATCAAACCACAATTTTGAGCATCATCTACCATCATGGGCTGCTTTTAAGTTGCAGTACGACATATACAATTGCTAGTACTGCATGCTCAAAACACCTCAGGATTCAGAAATTCTTTGCAACCCACAAAATGCCATCATTCTCTCTAGTTATCCTGATGGAAACAAAGATGAAGCTGGACACCAAAATTTGCAGTCACTACAGCCCTAAAGACACCACCTCTTACACAGTTCCAGAAGGAATATTAGCTAACAGCAATTCCACTTGTTTTATCACTGGGTATCAAAGTGTGACTTGCATTTAACAGAACCGTGACGGTTCAGTGAGGGTACATACTCACTTGGCAAGTTTCACAAGTGCCATTTTCTCCACATCTCCCACAGCATAAGCTCTCCAATAGCACTGTCAAGGAAGGAAAGTCAGTCAAGCATGCCACAAAAATTAGTCCAGCTCATGACTTCAGCATGCAAATCAGAAACAAAAAATTACAGGGATTGTCAGCAAAAGGGGCATCTATCTGTAGACAACTCCTTATTTATCAACAGCTCTAGTTATATTGCAGCAGTACTTCCCCAGCTGTAACTGCCAAAGAGTTTAGGTAGCACTAGCAACATAATTTTGCTGCAATTTCACCCAGTATTCTGGAAGACACCCTAAAGTCTTACACCTCAGTTCTCACCTTCTTAGCTTCCACCAACTGATTGAGTTTTTCATAGCATTCTCCTAGAGCAACCAGCATACGAGAATCATTTGGTCTGTAAAAGAGCAATTCTTCAGGTAGTTTTATAGACAGCCAGCTGATCTCAGAGTGAGGGAAAGATGGGGGGTGGTCAAGGGAAAAAAATAATCTACACCTGGCAGTCTGTCATCCTTTTGCATAAAGCATCACTCTTACTCCTGACAAATCATCCTCAACATTTAACTGACAAAGCTTTTGTTAACAGTTAACTAACATCACTAAAAGGATTTGGAACAGTGGGACTGCACACATCACAAAGCATCAATGTTTGTTTCCTTCCTCAACTTAGTTCTTGCATGTAAATTCCTTAGCCAGTATCAACCATGTCAGAATGAAGACCAGTGAACACGGCTCCATTCTCAACTCTACCTGAGCTGGTGGGCCCGTCGGTAATAGTAGAGACAGTAAAATGGCATTTTGAGGATTTCATAGGTTTGCCCCAAGCCATACCACGCTCTGTAGTCCCTTTTGTTCACCTCTATTGCATGCCTGTCAATGAAAAGGAGATAAGCTAGACAAAAAGTCAGAATCAAAACCAAATCCAGCATAACACTAAAAAAAAAATAGAAGGCACTACTTCAGAAGCAAACTCCATTTTGTGCAGTACATGAGCGTTACCTATAAGCCTGAATAGCTGCAGATGTGTTCTTCATTTCCATATACTCATGTCCCATAAGTGTCCAGGCTCCTAGATAACGAGGATTCAGTTTCAAGGCCCTCTGGAAATAGAGTGCTGCTTTTTCATGTTGGGAACGCAAGCTATAATAATTTCCTAAAGTAAAAGGCATAATATTTAAATAAATTTTAAAAACCCAAAACCAATCAACAAAAAAAAGCAACACCAATAGAGAAGTAGAAAAAATGATGTAATGTGTACTATCTACTACCTCCTAACAAATTATAAAGAGTCCTAATAAAGACAGAACTGATTCAAACTTCAAGAAACCTAATTGCACTCTGTTCACCAGTGTTCTGGTCAATCCTTTTCCAGCTGTACCAATCAATTTATGATTCCATCGCCTTGGAGTGTCCTGATCTAACAAATCAATTTCCTGCTCCTCACACACAACTATTTCCACTGGAGTTTGAAGACTATAAAGGGATTTTTAGGTACATGGGTCTACTTTCTACCCTAGTACTATTACAGCAGCTTTCAGAGAAAAATGAGGGAAAAGGTACTCTGTCATTTAGTCTGCTTTTCAGGCTGCCTGAATCCACATTCACCAAGTGGTGATTTTGACTGCCTTGTTGGCTTATCACTTCCACAAGTGTTTCCAAGATTCCCTCACACAGCCTACAGACAGCAAACTAAGATGTAAAAATAACATGTAAAAGAATTGGCTCTCACCAATTACACAGCAGGTCTCAACACGGTACTTGTCTATCTCACAGAGATTATGAGCCAGGTAGCTCAACTCAGGCTTCATGCTCTAGTGGGACAAAAGATTAAAGTGATGAGAGAGAGAGTACATTATGCTTTGAAAGAAACTGCAATAAGCAATTGGTAATGTGTACAGTGCCTCTCCTCCATGGAGGTGGGAAGAGGCAAGCCAGTATTCAGAGATGCCAGACAGCACCAGCTGCTTTGCCAGTGTTTAACATACCTCCAACAAACACCATCACTATGGACAGGCCACAGGAAGAATGCTTACCCTTACATAGAGCAAGTTGGAGAAAGTATCCATGTTTTCTATCCTGTAAGGATCTTGTTTCCTCAGTTCATTAAAGATGGATAAAGCTTTGTCAATATCTGAAGAAAGAACAGCATATGGAACACCAACAACTATAAATGCCAAGTTTTGCATTAAGGGGGTCATTACTACTTAGTCTCACTGACCTCTTATATTGTGGTAGGCAACTGCAATCTGAGAGATGATATAAGTGCTTTTGGAGAATCCTGCATCAATGAGAGACTGGTACTTCTGCAGAGCTTCCTCTATCAGCTGCAGCTCTGTATAAATGTGTGCAAGAAAGAACTCTTTCATCCATGTATCTGGCAAGGACAGGAACTTCAGCTAGCAAGAATCAAAGAAGAGGAGGAAGAGATGACAATCAGAAGTATTCTACAGGCTACACGTGGCAAAGACTCCATTATCTTCCCTCCCATGACTTAGTAGGTGGTCCTGAGGTAGGAGACTTTCCTGCAGTCACTTTCTTAAATCCATTTGGTCAATCAGGGAAGAAATTGTCTTCAGATATGACATTACCTGGCTCTTGCTTCAGCTATTAAATTCAGACTGCATTTCTTCCTATGTTTGAACATCAATATCATAACACTAATTTCAATGAACTATGTAAGCAGACTCAAAAGTATATAATAAAAAATGCACTTCCCTTTTTCCACAAATTGGTAACACACTCTTCTGCATCACTTTTTACAACATTTTTTTTAAAGTACAGTTTTAAATGCTTCATAATTCAGAATTTACTGAAGAATTCCAGACATGGACTCAAATTCCATGCAGAAAGAAAAATAATATATTTTGGTTTTATATCTGAAGTTTGTTTCTCTGATACAATTCACCTCCTATGTGGCTTTATACATTATCTTTTCAAATTTTGAAAGTAGTGATTCTACATATCCTTTCAAGCTATGAGAAGTGCTCAATAACTGAGGAATTAGAAACAGATTAAGAAAAAATAAAAAAGGGACATCTCTTAGGAGGATCTTCTTCATGTGACAAGATGATAACCGCAGTAACAACTGCTTTCAAAATACATGAATTGGAAATTTCTTAAACCACTTTGTGGGGGAATGATAAGAAACTAGCCATGCCAGTATAAAGATACTCAAGATACAGCACGACAAGCAATCGAAGATAAAGAGGATTTTACAATATAATTTACAGTTGTGGATTGCCTTGCCTGACAGTGTCTCACAGAATGAAGCAGTGGGCAACATTAATCTCGTGGAAACAGAAACACTGGTCACTGAATCAGGCTAAACTCTTGAGATTTGTTACCACATCTTGGTATCTGCAAAGTTTTACCATCTCTTTATCTGTAATCAAGTTGCAAAGTTCCAGCCAGGCTCCCCAGTGCAAAGGCAGGACATGAGCAGCTTCAACAAACACATCTATTGCTTCTTTCACCAGGTCCAGTTTCCGCAGCACAACACCATACCTGTAAAAAAAAAGTATCAGGTTGACAAGAATCACGCAATTCTGCATATCCACACAAATATATAAGAAATGCATGCAAACACTTACAGATAAAGGCCAAAGCCATCCAGTTCCTGTGCCTTGTGTTTCTTGCTGAGCTCAACTCTCAATTCTCGTAGAGCTTCATTTTTCACCTGTCCTTTTTCCAGAGGTCCTACATGAAGAGAAAGTCACACAGCTAGCTTTCAATAAGGAGTCTTCCACAGCAATGCCAAGTCCAGGGTGCAATCAGAATTATGGCTGACATCTGCCCAGCCTGTGTTTATGTTCCCCATTTTAAAGAAAATTGCTTAGTCTGGTCACCCAGTTTAAAAGAAGACCTAAGAGATGAAAATCTGCAACCTGTAATTAAGCCAATGAATCAAAAAGAATGAAAGAAATCATGTTACAGCACCTATTATCCAAAAAATTGAGGGGAAAGCCATAGACCCAAGATGAGTTACATGCAGAGTCAACAGCAAAAGCTTCATTATCTCATCATGCATTTCTTGACACCAGAGACTTACCCAAACTATCAACTGTCTCATCATCCTTTTTCTTTTCCCCTGACTGTGGAAAAGAAAGAAAATCCAAGATTATATTATAATAGTATTTTTCCTAAGTTTGCTGCAGCACTTGCAGCAGTGTGTAAACTGAGTTTTCACAGACAGCACGGTTCTGAAAAGAACAGCCCTATCTTTCTTCACCCCAACACAGAATTTGGACTTCAAGGTGGTCATTAAAACCAAGCAAAAGAATAAGCAAAAAAATAAGATATGCCAGGGAGGGGTGGGAAGCAGAGGAGTTCAGAGCTAGGAGGCAACCTTTTTTTCTACCTTACCAGGTATCTGGAGTACATGTACAAGAAGTAAGCTTTCTGGCTCTTGCAGCCCTGTAAAAAGTAGGCAGCCCTGTCATATTCCTTGAGATCAAAGTAAGACTTGGCCAACGTGTAGGCATCCAGATCACGAGCATCCTCCTGCAGGGACATACAAGAGTTTTAAGACCCAAGAAGCTCTGACATACTTTAGGAAAATCATGGTTACAAACATAGCAATGAAATTGCTCCAAAAGCTAAAAATGTAGTTTGTCCATCTTTTTAGATGGTTTGAGTACTATCAGAAAAGTTCCTCCAGTCCCTCACATGATCCTATTCTAGAGTTCTCAAATAACAAGTACAGACTATGTAAGAACATTTAAAATAAATGATGAGATTTCAGAAACAAATTGTGGCAAGCTGACAGAAGGCAAGGCCTAGCTGTTCAATTAGTATGAAAAGCCATAAACAAGAAACCTGCTCAGGAATTCCATATAAGAGAATATTAATCTGCTAACATACAAGAGAACACCTCCCTGGTAATTATACCTTGAAATGCATTTCTGACATGTTACACTTCTATAATACAGCAGGACACACACCTATGACTTCTACTGTATTCCTACAGAGGTGGGGATGGAGACACAACTTGTTTTTCTTGTGTCCTAACGAGTACAAGTTTAATGGCAAAACATAATTTGTATTAAAATCAATTTGACCTCAGTAAAGAGGAACAAAAATAAAGTAGCATGCATGTGATTTCAAATTTGGCTTACAGAGTGCTTCATTTAGGACACAGCAACAGATAATGCTTTCATCTGGGAAAGCACATTCAGCTCTCTTGCCCTGTTGAACACACTATGGAAAGGATGTTCCCAGCATCATGGCAGCATTGGAGCTCAGCGCAGACTCCCACCCGTGGGAGTGGGAGATTGCAATCACGTATTTTCCTCCACAGTTCAGATGAAACAGCCCACCCACATGAGCTGCAGCACCTTGTCGAGCTCACAGCCACTGTCCCCCAAGCACAGCCTGGGCCGTACCTCGGTGAGCACGGGGGGAGGCGGCAGCTCGCTCAGTGGCAGTGGCTCCAGGGCGAACGCAAGTTCAGCAGCCCTGAGGGAAAGAGAGCATTAGAATCGTTCCACTGCCAAGGTTGGAGACCTGTGAGATCATCGAGTCCCACCGCAGCGCGAGCACTGCAATCCCTAAGCCACATCATCCAACGCCAGATGCAGACACCTCTTAAGAACCTCCAGAGACAGCGACTCCATCACCTCCCTGGGAAACCTATTCCAGTGCCTGACCACCTGAACATTTAAAAAACATTTTCCAGTATCTTACTGAATCTCCCCTATCTCAGCTCAAGGCCGTTTCCTCTGGTTCCCTCCCTGCAGGCACAGCAGAAGAGACTGGCTCCCACCTCACTGCAAACTCCTCTCAGCGAGTTGTAAAAAATGATGAAGCACCCACGAGCCTCCTCTTCTCGAGACTAAACAAACCCAGCCCCGTCCCATCCTCCCTCCGGCACAGAACACGTTAGCCCGGGGCCGCCGAGCTAGGCCCAGCCAGCTGTGCCCGGCCCCGCTCACCACTTCCCGCTGTGCTGCAGCCCGCGCTCGCGGCTCCGCTCCGCCACGCTCAGCAGCTGCTTCTTGATCTCCCGCAGATCCGAGAAGTCGCCGCCGCCCGCCGCCGCCACCATTGTCGCCGCCGCCATCGCGCCAGCCCGGCCAATCACAGCCCCGTCCGCCGGTCTGGCCAATCACAGACCCGCACCCTGTGTGCCCGCCCGCCTATCCGGCCAATCAAAGGCTCGCGCACTGAACCACCCCGCCCCTATACGGAGTCCTCTGCTTGGACGAGAGCGAGAGGTTTCGTGACCAATCCCAGGCGCTCCCCGGGGCTGTGCAGTCTGATTGGCCGGGCGCGCCCGGAGCTGTGCAGTCTGATTGGCCGGGGGCGCCCGGAGCTGTGCAGTCTGATTGGCCGGGAGCGCCCCGGGGCTGTGCAGTCTGATTGGCCGGGCGCGCCCGGAGCTGTGCAGTCTGATTGGCCGGTTGTGTCTGAACTGGCGCTGGTTCGCTAGTGATGAAAAGTGTCGCTGTGAGCGTGGCGTCTTTGTACTTGATTTGTTACTATAGTAAGAAAAGATTTTTGGTTTTTTGATGAGCTGTGGATGACACTAATTCTTACACTGACTCCAGTGTAGAGTCTAAGGCTACCACTGGCCCTCACTGTATTGATGAGTACTATGAAAATTGCATTGGTCTGGAACCGTTTCATCTGGAACCACCTGCTGAAATTAAGATTGTTCTACAAAGGTTTACAGAGATAGGAAATGCCCAGTTTGTCGTTAAAGTGGGAATTGATGAGTTATTTATAGTCTTCAATGGTTTTTCAAATCGATAAAGCAAATTAGACCCTGATTTGAAGTATAATTTCAGCGTTACATGGGTTTTTCCCTCTCTTAATTTTAGCCAAATGTTTTGCAAATTCAGTTGTAGCTTTGACAGAAAATACTTCTATTACTTTGCCAGCCCATACATCCAAAACGGGAATAAAAACTTCGTTGCTATTGTTGTTACCACACAGATGGGTCTAGTCAACACAATACCTAACTAATACCTCATTCTGTCTCTTTGACCCGCCCCAGAACACATGTGAAAAGAGCCTCAGAATTATTTTCTGATGATAAATTTTTGTTGTACTTACCATCTCTTTTGTGTTCTCCATATGTAGGGATCAGCTGTTAGTGTTCTGTGCTCCTAAACATTGTATTTGGTACTTGTTTGAGTCCCTTAGTTGGACTCAATAATCTTATCCAATCTGAATTATTCTGTGATTCTCTGCTAGTTTCAATTTAAGGACGTTCAGTTTTCACATGAATACAAAGAGTGATATTTAAAGAAATTGGTACGTGTGTGTGAGATCTATGAAGTAATTTTATCAAGGTCTGTATATCTCCAGTTTTGGGGGCACTGGGTATTATGTGCTGTTTTTCCAATGGAAACTGTGACAATATTGTTGAAGTGAGATTTCAGTTCAAAATACTGAAGCTGCTGCAAAAATGCACGAAATGCTAATTCTCTTCTTGATGAAATCTAGGCAAAATACCCTTAGTGTCACTCTCCAGCGTGTGAGTCCTGGGCAGCTGCGATCCAGCTTTTCAGAGGAGCGCTCCTGGCAGCCGTGGCACACAGCTGTGATCCAGCTTTTCCCGAGGAGCGGCGCTCCTGGCAGCCGTGGCACACAGCTGTGATCCAGCTTTTCAGAGGAGCGCTCCTGGCAGCCGTGGCACACAGCTGTGATCCAGCTTTTCCCGAGGAGCGGCGCTCCTGGCAGCCGTGGCACACAGCTGTGATCCAGCTTTTCAGAGGAGCGGCGCTCCTGGCAGCCGTGGCACACAGCTGTGATCCAGCTTTTCAGAGGAGCGCCTCTGGCAGCCGTGGCACACAGCTGTGATCCAGCTTTTCAGAGGAGCGCTCCTGGCAGCCGTGGCACACAGCTGTGATCCAGCTTTTCAGAGGAGCGCTCCTGGCAGCCGTGGCACACAGCTGTGATCCAGCTTTTCCCGACGGGCGCTCCCGGTCCCGCCGCCCGGCAGGAGATGGCGCTTTGCGCTCTCCAAGCGGCGGAGGGAGGGCGAAAGGAGAGTTCGCCTTGGCCGAGCTGAAGAATTCAATTGCTAAGACTTGCTTCGTAAGGAGAACTCGTAATTCTTCCTGTCATTCCATTCTTTAAAAGATGGGTCTGAAGTGACACCCGAGGCTGGCATTTAGAGCCAGGAGACGAGTTAAATCCTCTGGGCGTGAAAACAGATAGCATCTTGGAAATACAGATTAACTGCGCAGCGCTGGGTGCTCTAGGAGAGGGGAACTTGTACCCCGTGTTATTCCACAGCTACATGGACGAGATTTTCTCTAGTCCCTCAGAGAAACGAATTGACAAAAACAAGGAAGGTCGCTGATGGAAGGGTGGGAATTGTGTTCATCATACCAATAGGCTGTGTAGGTGCTTTAAAAGGAATTTTTTTTTTTTTTTTTGAAGTGGAAATCTTCAAATGTACAGCTAATGCTCGGTAAAATCCTGTGTAAGTGATCTTTAGCAAGTGAAGCGTCTTGCCAATACAGTTAGTTTCATCTGTTGACAGAGAATTTAACTTCTTTATTATGATGCTGTAAAACGGTGCTTTTTAACTTTTTTAAAGATCAACCATGATTACAGTTGCCTGTATAATTTTACACTGAGAAGTCTCTACTACTGGTTGTATTCTCCATTTAGCATAGTTAATGCAACTCCCACTTTTGCTTTTTGTTGTCTGTTGGGACATCATTAATGTTAAAACTTGGAAACCATGTGACCCTAAAGTATGAGGGAAACCATTTATACTTTATTTAAATTGAGACAAAAGAATAAATTTGCACCAACTGGGGATAGTTCCAAAGGGTAGAAGATCTGAATTCCAGGAAATCTGCCTATGACTCAGTTAATGTAGCATTGTGACATCAGAGTAGAGAGAGTAGGCTATTGTGCAGTCAGTAATGTTGTTTTTCCCCTCTCTCTCTCTTGTTCAGGTCTCAATTGTTTTCTTGGGAGGTTAATTGAGATGAAGTGACATAAAATGTCTCTGAGAGCTGTGGACTAATGCAGCAAAAGTGTTTATGTCTGAATCACTTCTCCATATCTGAAAAATTCATTGACTCATGCCATGTATTTTCTGGTTTTAGGAGATTTGGTTTAATTGCAGCTCTTGATGAGCTTGGAAGTAGTAGCAGTGAGGCGTGCATATCTAGCCCATATGCTCTGAGAAAACCAGCATGCACCATTTTATAGCATGTTGCCCACTAAGACTTCTGTGGATATCACAGTGAGGTTGTAAAGAACCATGCAGGTGCTTAATATGCTGTTATTCAAGAACCTTCACATTGTAGCTAAACTGCAGTTCCCTATTTAATGGAGCATGGACTTGCTCCCTTTTCAGGAGACCCAGAAATTTGTTCTAACCCATTGCAAAAGTTATGGTTAGGCCAAACATTAGGAACTAGGAATTTGTCTGACTGGGTTGTATTTAGTGTGCTGCTGTGCATCCTTGAAGTCATGGAGGAGAAGGGAGTCTGGAGACGACACAAGGAGTAGCAATCATTTTGCCACGTGTGCAGCTGGGATCTGCAATTGCTGAGAAATGGGCTAGAAATGTATAGCCAGGCACTGCTGAGGTCCTGCAGCCTGTGGCTCCACTGGCACTGCCATCTGACACAAGTGTGTGCTGTGTGCTGAGAAGGTCAGTCCTACATCTGTCATCCTCCCTCCCGTGCTACAGACTGCACCTAGGCAGTAATGAAAAACTATTTTGGTTTCAAATCCATTGCTGTTTTTCCTTGGGGCCACTGAAGTCAAGAGTGAGGCAGGTGAATTTGGGAAGGCAGAACTGCACCTTTTGTTATTGGTGAAAGCTTATGCTGGAATAAATAGAAGTCACTGATATGCAATGATTTTTTTTTTTCCTACCCTCCCTCTAGGAGGGGAGTAAATAGTACTGCTGGGGAAAAAAGAAAAAAAAAAAAGAAAAAAAAAAAAAAAGTAAAAAAATTGCTGCTAGTTTCTTTATGTGTGAGCTTTGTCATTGAGAAAGTCAGAACAGATTTCTAAGTCAGGAAACTTACAAATTCTTTCTGAAAATCCTTATTTATATTTGGGTTGTCCAGGCAGTTCCCTCCCCCCCCTCCCCCCTTTTCATTACACTTACTCTCCATTTGAGAAAAGAGGAGGATGTTTTATGGTGAACAGCATGTTGCTATGTTTTAAGGCAGTACCATTTTGTACAGTTTTGACCTTGCAAAATAACTAAATGCCTGGTACCCACAGCTCCTCCTGATTACAGGAGGGGACTTACAGTTGCTCAGTGCAACACAAAATCAGAATGCTTGGCAGCATTTCTACTTAGCATGAGTGTTACTGAGACGATATATATTTAATAGGAATTCATCCTTTTAAACTATTTCTGAGAGAGTTTTGTGAATTTTGTCTAGATGCCCAGGTAAACGTGTATAGATTATGTCTTTTTCCCTCCCTTTTAAGAGCAGGAAATATAAAATCCCCACAAAGCCCACTAGACTGCATCTCCATAATGGAGATGCAATATAAGGGAATTTGGAGGGATGTTTTTGATAAAAGTAGATTACGTTTTTATCACCATTAAAAGTGAGGATTAATCCCAGTAACCATAAGCGTATATCAAAATACAACATTACAGCAATTCCTGGTAACTGCTTTGGTTCAGGAAAGAAAAATACCACTTTATGTAGGTTTGCTCCCAGTGGCACATGATTTACTGCTTATCCTCAATCTGTGTTGACATGATCTGGAGTAATTCTATGGCACTTGAGGCCATCTCTTCCAAGGTGGCATAGTGTCATTTGGTCAGATGACTGAAATCATTAAGTTCATAGTGATTTACACTACCACTACTACTCCTCCTCCTCCTCCATCCTCTCTGAAAGATATCCCTTTATCTGCTGAAGGAAGGCAGCTGAACACAAATTCTTCTCTCGTCTGTTATCACTAAAGGGAAAGTAGGTTAACTTACATCACCATGGTGTTTCAATGGGCTAGAAATGTATAGCCATTTGAAGGATACTCATGTTTTTAAATTGCTCAATATTTGTCAGAAGTCATCTTCTCACACTGCTGTTGCACTCTTGAGGGAGATGAGTAAGAAGATTCTGTATTCAA